TATTCAATATATGAGCTGCTGGCAAAGCATCAGAAAATCAATAGCTTCATACATTTATAACCAAGCATTTACCACATGAAAGGCTGTATCCCGAGACAGAAACTCTCTGCTCTAATTAGGCAGCCGCCTCTAGGAGGAACATCCTTATCTGGATTTTGAAGCATCAGCCGTCTCTCCGTCTCATAGTACGAGCACCAGTAAGACCGAGCGCGTTAATGACTCTTCACACACTTTCCGTAGAGTGATTCTGATAATCTGTTCCTCACTTCCCTCTGACCCTCAACAGAAGATGCTGAAAATGCAATCTTGCTGCCTCTGGTAGCATGCCAAGCTCCAACATTTGACAGACTTCAAAAAAACAATGCATGACCCCAACTTACTCTTCTTTAAGCGCAAGTTTATCTCATGTTTCACTTGGCTAGGTATTCCTCAGTGGCCTACTCGTCCCACCACCTGTTTACCATTGGACCTACTGAGGCAGACTGGTATTAACCGGGGAGGTACAGTCTCGGCTCTGTCATTTACGGAGAGTGGCTTTTATGTAACCTTCTCTTCCGTATCTGGGGCACCTCCATGCTAAGGTACCAGGCAGCGCACACAGGCTGAAGAGCAGCAGCTGGGCGGGCACTAGGTTTGAACAAAGTAAAGCTTCTTGGAGCTGTTAAACAAACACGTGTCTGAAAATTGCAAGGGTGTGACTGCTCCTAGATGACGGTGCACTCGGGGAGGCTTGATTAATCAGTGAAAACCAGGCAGTTGTACCGGGTAAGCTGTCTCCCCAGGCACAAACAGTAATCACTGGACTAAAGCCCCACAACCAAGAAGGGGCAATACAGAACTGGTATGTCCCCCCGCCCAGCCACAACTTTATACTGGATTATACTGCTACTGTATAATACATTCCTGGCATTTTTGCTGCTGCTGAGTGACAAGGAGCCACTGTGCCTATGATTCTTCTAAGGTTGGGAATCAAAAATTGGTAACATTTGATCCTATAGACACTCAGCTATTAAAAAAGAACTACCGTAACACACAAAACCCCACTATAACCTTAAGCCCTTTTTATGCCAAAAACCTTTCAAGACAGACATAGGGAAAAATTTAGCCCAAGTGGGGAATATACAACTGCACTGAAAATATTTTTTTCTTGTTTACAGAGAAATAAACCAGCCACGTGATGTTGCACAATCACAGCAAGCCTTCAGTCAGGCGCTGCTAAATGTAAGCAGGGTAAGTGCAGCGGCGTGCCATCTGAAATCACAGGGGCACAACAGACAGGCAGGAGCTGCATCCCATTCCACAGCTCAGTGAAAACTCTCCAGCACAGAGAACACCAGCTTTCCTGACTCTTGTGCTCAGCCTGCCTCCTCAGCCTCATTCGCCCAAGTACAGCGACTGCCGAGTCCCTCTCCTACCAGATTTGCCCCACCTTCAGAAACTCAAGAAACTTTTACCAATTCTAGTCTTTCACCTCTTGTATCTTCTTGAGAAGAATTAAGGGCAATGGATTTGTGTTGAGACAGTGTTATTAAGACATCCCTCAAGCAGTCAAATCCTCATATCCTGAGAGAGATTTATAAAAATATTTTTAAAATAGTGTAATATAATAACCTTAAAAATGATCTGTCTATAATTTCTATAATTTCTCGAAAATTTATCTGGTTGTCAGCAAAACATCCAAGTTTCCCTTTTATTTTCTGCCTTCTTTGTATCATTATGGTGAGTAATTTTTTCCCATTATACTGTTTCACTCAGTTCACAACATTTTCCCTGGAAAAGAGACAATTGTTAAGACACCTTAGGAAGGAAAAATGATTATGTTAAAATACCCCTGGGAAATGAAAAGCATAAGCAAGCAGGAGGTAAATTTTTTAGCTAAATTAAAATGTAGCCTACCCTTTCTGTTTGGGGTATCAATTTCAAGAAGGTTTTAGCGGAGAAATTCTCCAGGCATGTTAGAATATCCTTCCAATCCCAAGCTGTAAAGTAGGTAACACACACAGTCTGCCTGCGAGATCCAAGGCAAACAGGAGTTGCTGTCTCCCTGGTCAGAGGCTGGGGAGCTGCACCGTGCCCTCTGCAGCAGCACAAAGAGAAGGGCACGAACTCTCAGGAAACATGAAGACAAAAACTAAAGCTGCAGCGTGACTTCTAGTGCACCACACAAAATTAGTCAACGGGGTAGGAGACAACCACAGAGGAGCTTCATCCACTGAAAAGGCAGAAATGGAAATTGCACAAAGGCTGAAGTGATGTAAAACATCAAAAAGTCATCTATACCCTTTGCCCAGTCACAATCATGCTAATTAATTCCTCTGCTAATTAAGCATTTTTCACTTGGTTTCCACTATATATATTTCTATAAATATACACTACCAACTCTCTCCTTTCTCTCTGCTGAGTACTTGGTAAGGTCAAGAGTGCATCCACTGAGACCGAATATTTCTATATATAGAAATAATTGCCTGTGGAATTAAGTGCACTTGCCTGGGTATCTAGTTCATACTAAACTTAATTTAGCTGATTTTCCTTGTCTATTATATCCATTATTAGGGACTGTGTACGCTGCCAGCTGCAGCATTGCCTATCAAAGATGGAAACTAATTATCTAATTACATGGCAAGGATGAGTTCCTCCGTGAGAACGTTCGAAACCATCAGAGGCAGACAATCAAGTAAACTATCACAAGGAAAAACCGGTTCCTCCAGACAGCCATGTTACACACTCGACCTTTTTTAAAAGAGGTAAAAGAAAGGTAGCGTATTCCAGGAATATCAGTTTTCATTAACCGTTTCAAATACATCCCATGCAAGCAAAGCAAACACTTGAACAGGCCCCATCTCAGGCAAAGTGTGGCAGATAATATGAGATGATGATAAGCATGTGAAATAAAAATAAAATACAGACTTTAGGGAAACAACGTTGAGTTTCTGGACGTGCTGTCTCCTACGCCTCTGCACCCCAAAACAGGATTCAGGGATAGAAGTAACCACCAGTAGTGGAAGAGGATCAAGTCATGAGGCTCTTAAGAAAACAGATGCAGAGGGAGCAAGCCAATGTCACTGCCAGGCTGTTCTTTACCATCCCTATTGTTTTTGCAAGGTTGTTGAGAATAAGGGAGGTCCCCTATGACTGAAGGTAGATGTTCTATCTGTCTTCAGAAACAGCAATAACAAGCCATGGATTTACAGGCTGGTTAGCCTCACTCTGCTTCCGGGCAAAACCACAGAGCAAAGCTTTTCAGAAGCTGCTTCTGAGCACGTGAAGGTGAAGAAGGTGACTGGGACCAGTCAGCATAGACTTACCAAGCATGTCCAGCCAACCTGGTTGCCCTAAATGATAGTGTGACTGGATCTGTGATTGAGGGAGAGCATTGGATGTTGCCTACCTTGACTTCAGCAAGGTTGTCAATACTTTCTCCTGGTGCATCCTGGTATAACCAAGTTGGGACATTAAAGTCTAGACAGGCAGACTGTTAGCTGTGTCAAAAATTGGCTGGATCATCAGACTTAAAGGCCAGTGGTTAACAGTATGTATCTACTTATAGGCTAGTTACAAGCAGAATACCTTGCTTAACACAGTCTATCAGTGGCCTGAAGGAGAAAAAAAAATATGTACCCACTTCAACCCTCAGATGATACCCAACTCAGAGGTGTGTTCACTGCCCTTGAGGGCAGTGCTGCTGTTCAGAGGGCCTTCGGCTGGAGGGAGGAATGGGCCAACAGGAGCCTTATGTGGTTCAGAATGGACAAACGCGCAGCCCTGCCTGGGGGAAGGAAAAGCCTCTGGCCATGAGACAGGCAGGGGACTGGCTGCCTGGGAAGCAGCTCTGCCAAAAGGGACCAAAGGGCAGCAAGCTGAGCACGAGCCAGCAGCACACCCTGGCAGCACAGATGGCCAACCTAAGTCATACCAACACCAGCCAAGCCAGCAGATCAGGTGAAGGGGTTATCCCTTTCTAGATACAGTCTAACCCAAGCTGGGTAACGCATCCAGTTTTGGGCCCCACGATACAAGAGAAATGTTGATGAACTGATGCAAACTCAGGAAAAGGGCCACCAAGACAGCTGGGGGGCTGAAGCACGTGCCCTGCGAAGAGAGGCTGAGGAAATGGGGCCTGTTCAGCCTGGAGACAAGATGGGGGACTGCAAAGCTGCCTGTCAGTACCCATGGGGAGGGCTGCCAAGAAGACAGAGCCAAGCTCTTTAACTGAGGTGCATCCAGGACAACGAGTGACCGTGGCAGTGAACTGAATCAGGAGAGGTTTTGACTTGATACAACGGGGGGGAAACCACTGTGATGACTTACAACAAACACTGGACTCAGCTGCCCAGAAAGGTTGGGGAACCTCCGCTCTCAGGCCCAGCCAGACAGTGGCCTGAGCAACCTGGTCTGAATTCACTGTCAAGTCTGCTTTGAGTGGGAAGTGTGACTGACAATCTCCTGAGGTCCCTTCCAGCCCACAAGGTCCTTCCCACTTGCAGCCAGACACCAAAACCAGAACCCCTAGAAGGCAAACTGAACAAGACATTTTTAATTCTCCTCATGAGGAATGTCAGCCTCATCTTGTTTAAAAGATCCGGAGAGAGAACTCTTTTTTCTAAACAGATTCCACTGCAATGACTGTTTTCTACTTATCATAGCCCTCCAGGCGCATTTCTTAACATTTAAGTTTTTATCACCATGACGATAAGATCAGCAGTATCGCCCCTACAGCAGGCTTAGTCTGAAACAGAAGATGTGACCCAGGTCAGGATTCATACACAAATTTAGAAGGAACAGACTTACCCCATATCTACTATCTAGTATGCATTACTCTGGTGTATTCAAAGTCATTTTTACTTTACATCTGCATAAACAGCAGCCATACTACCGGCTCAGTGGACTTCTTGAAGCCCTTGGGAAAGAAGTTTTTAGACCCAAAACAAACAGCTTTTTTCAGAACATCTCCAAACAATCACAAACGAAAAAATAAATAAATAAATGGAACATTTACTTACTTATTCCTTGAAAAAGTTCTTCAATGTTAACAGCATTCTTTGCACTGGTTTCAACAACAATTGCACCTATAGATTCTGCATATTCTTTGGCATCCTTCAGAGGAACCTCCCTACAAAAAAAACAACCAACAATAACAAATTAAGAGAAACCAAATTTTAAAAAAATAATTTCATTTGGGGGGGGGACACGCAGGAAGACGTCAAAGGCAGCCTAATCAAAAAGCATTAGTATGCTACTCTTCCCTGCAAAAGTAGTACTATCTTTCTTCTTCCTATGGCATTTAGAGCATCATATTCAAAATATCAAAATTTCACCAATGATCAATTTGCATATTCCTTGGACTCGCTGCTGAATCCATGCCTTGAAAAAAGGAAGATAATTTAAATGACAATCCCGTTCGTTTGTTTTTTAAACTTGACCCTGATAAGAAAAGCATTTAAACTCTAGAGAAAAAGACATATAACTGCTGATCCAGGCAGCAACCAGCACTGTCTACACCAACTGTTCGAACAAGACAGGGTATGACCGTTGCAGAAGAAAACAATAAGAGCATGGTATGTCTAAGTGTTTGCAAGCAGCAAGAAAACAAGAGAGGTTCTGAAAGAAACACAAAAGCTGCTGACTCTGAGCACACTGGCAAGGGCAATCTGGGAGTGCCAGGTTCACTGGGGGCAGACCACCATTCTGTGCCATGTCACCAAAGTGACACCACCTTAAAATGACTGGTAGAACATCCTCATTGTGTAGCTAATACGTTACATGCCAAAAGCTGGTAAAAGCAATTTAACAACATGCAAAAGACCTCTGCTTCAGACACAAAGCAAGCCCCACGCTGACCTTGTATCTGCCTGAGCCAGGTGTCAAAGTGCATCTGCCCGTGTCCGCTGCTGTCCGTAACCACCGCTATCCCCGATTTTTGAGCGACAGCTCAGAATCAGAGACTGAACACGCTAACAGGCACCCAAGGCACACCCGACCAGGGTAGCACCTGTTGAAACACCAGGCTGCCAGCACTATTTTTCTTCCAGTTGTTCAATACATCAACTGGTGTGTTTTGTGCGGCTTTATAGCTGTCTGTTGCACGTGCAGAATTTGCACCGACTCCTTCACCCCACAGCTCCGACGTACCAATCCAGAGACTCCAAGTACGAGTGCCTTGGACTTTAACAGAAGGTACCTAGGTGGGAGCACATCAATGCAATTTCACAATTAGTTTATTGAAGTAAATATTTTAAATAAATCACAGCTGCTGCTCATGGGAAACATGCAGAGAAGCAGAATAATCGCCTGATTTATTACAAATGGCTTTCAAAAAATTAGCCTGCAATTCCAGCATCCGGATTCAGAGCTTGTTTCCATTACTTGCTTCTTTGTATCACACATCTTTTTACTATGAAAGACAGAGGGAAGGCAGCATTCCCCTTAGTATTTCTGAAATGACCTTTATTATGAAAGGTACCACCATCTTCAGATGGCCCTGGAGATTAAGAAAAAAATGAATTTAACTACGTAACTGAATATTCAAACAACAGTAAACGAAGAAATTTGGGAGCATAGGTTATGTAATGAAAACTTTCACCTTGCTGTAATTTAGATAAGAAAGCAAACTTTAGGCATCAAGGAAAACAAACCACCACCAAGAGACAATATTCCAAGGAACGGTCCCAAAACTTCTTAACCTTCTCTGATGACATTTCTAAAGGAAGCCTATAAATGTCCACAGCACACGGGGCCTAAGCAGCATGCCATCCAGCGCTGCCAGCACCGAGAAGGCTGCATACATCAAGCGGAGTTACCATAATCTGGATGTCAATAATGCTTAGATGCTACCTTGTCAAAAGGGAAAAGCACAAATGCTTGAACTCTAAGCCAAGAGATGAATACACTCAAGATGGAGAGAAGAGGGAAGGTGACAAGAACAATCAGTGGAGTGCTGAGAAAGTGTTATGCCAGGGCTATAGGAAAAGTCAGAGGAATACCTATTCTGAAAGATGTCAATTATTTCAGTTTATCCTTTCCAAATCATTCTGTTGATTCAATCTCCCTTGAGATTTTTCTGAAAAATTACTGAATAAAGAAATATTCTGGATGCATAGAGGGAAGACCTGAGCATGCAATTCTGCTGAATTCTCTTAACCAAGGATCTGGCAATTTCCAGTGAACACAACTTGTTAAGGTGGTGCACCACATTTTTAGGGAAGTAAACACTTCTTAGTTGCTGTTATGACTATTGACTTCTACAATGCTCAAAAAATATTCTGGACGCTTCAACATTTTAACATTGCAGTCTCAGCTCCTCTCTTTGAAACTACTTTTCAATGACCTGTCAGGACAGGACACATATCAGAAGGAAAAATCTATTACTATTACTTAGATGTACGCCAAACACTCAACAGTATTAGAGTTGACAGTACTATAATGAAGACGAGGATTTATTCTAAACAAAATTGCCTGTCTACCTGTAGAAATTCCTTCAAAGTGGAGATGAAATTTACTTCAACAGAGTGCCAAAAACCGCTGATAGCCTATTAACAATACTAAGAAAAGCAGTACAACCCCCGAGTGTCCCAAATCCGAGCTTGGCGGCTCAAAACCAAATTTTAGATGCTAAATGAGGAGGGTAACATGGTCAACGACTATGAAAAATAGTGCCAGTCTTTTCCCAAAGGAAGATACTCAGTTTTTATTGTTTCTGTTCATCCCTCCTCACATTATCTCCTACAGTCATAGAGATGGCAGAATCAAATCAACTTGAACTGGGTCAGCCTGTCCTCTTTTGCATCTATTCACGTTGGTCTTAAAAGCATCTGTCTCTCCAATATCCAGGAAAACATCTGCCAAAAGTTCTACAAAACCAAAGAGAGATGCCAAAACTGCACACGAACAGCAGCTTGCTCCTGTGTGCTCACATCATCTTGTTTTTAAATTCTCTGCATCCAAAGAGATGTGTATTTTCTACTCACTGGAAACAACCTGATAAACTGGTGACACATTTCACCTAAAATAATTTTTACTGAAGTAAATTTGAAGACACAAAGCACCCAGAGCATGCATATAGCTGCGTGTATTGCATAAACAATCAGATTTCTGGAAGAACTGTGACAACGTATCATGTACGAGATAGTCTGCTCTCTATTTCTCCTCCAAAATCTCTTTAGCTGGACATCACTGGATGATTCTAGAAAGAAAAAAGGCTGGGAAATGCAGAAAGAATAACTGCACGGAAAAAAAAAAATTCCCCAAACCATTCGTAATTATGGAGAGAAAAAACTCCTCCTGCTTGAAGAGCGAGGGGAAAAAAAAAGACAGAAGAGCGGAGGAAAAAAAAAAGACAGAAGAGCGGAGGGAAAAAAAAAGACAGATGTTAGCTCATGGAAGACAATGAGGATCACGCAAACACCAGAACATTTCGTGCACAGAAGAGCTGTACTGGCTGAACAGGAGCAAGAAACAGATGATCAGCAATCAGTAAACAACGGGTTTGAGAATAACGTGGTGGGAAGACCAGAGGCTCTCTGCAAGGATCCCCAGCATTCTCACAATGTTTCCGGAGTGCAGGTTTTTCTTCATGTCCCCAAGTTAACCTGCCTCTAAAGGAACAGCATTTAAAAGCTTGCTGCCATGGCAAATGCTAACAAAAGAAGGGGGAGGGCTGGTTACAGATTCATTTGCAGTTGGTGCCATTTGTCACAATCTCCAGACTTATTACCCTTGATTTAATCAGGCAATTGTATTGCTGGGAATTCTTAAGCAATAAATTTAAAATCTCAGGGCAACTGAAAACTCCAATTTGTGCTAACCATTTTTTTGTTTTATTTTTATAATTGTCCTTTCCTTTTTTTTCCTACGTCATATTTGGAAACTTTTAGTTTTGTCTTACATGGACTCAGTTTCACTATGTTGACAAGCATATCGCAGCATCATGTAGGAGATGCCACTATGCATCTGTGTCCCCAGTTCTCAGCCCAACAGAAATGAGGAGTCTTCTAGTGTCAGGGCTTCTTCAGGTCTTACAGACAGCAGTGACTCACAGTTTTGTGTTCGTTCATGGCTGACAGTGGTGAGGGGTGGGAACAACAACAACAACAACAAAAAGACCCCCAAAAACCACACAGGTCCAATCCTTGTATATTGATTCAATAAAGCACTGCATCACTTACTTGAAGCTGCACATGTGCTTCAGGGCTCTGGTGAACCTGGGCCAGAGTAATGATTATAAAACAGGGGGATATATTTGAACAGCCATGAGAGCCTATGAGGTCGTAAGAAGAAAGCACCAAATAAGGCCACTGAGTCTGTACTCATAGTTGAAGCAAGAAACAACAGTCATGGACTGACACAAAGGATCACTACTGTACAGCAGAATGTGCTTCCATTTCCAGAAAGGGTAAATGCAAATCCAAAATAGTGCTAACAAGCAGAAGAGTGACTCTAGCTTCACTCTCGTCCCAAAGAGCATCATCTCAGATCTTCTGCAGGATGGCGGATTCAACCCTCCCCTCTTTTACTCAGAAGGTTTTTTTGCTTCATGCAGGTGACAAGTTTTACTTGAGGTTATGCTCCTAAAAAAACCCAAAACAAACAAACATACACTTTCTACATGCAGTATCATGGGACAGTTTCAGTTGTTGCAAAGTGCAAAGCACAAGTTCTTGAAGCTTCTCTGTGAATAACCTTCCTTCTAACTTTGCATTGCTGGTTTTCCTCATCGCTTAATACGTTCTGCACCTTTTAACATGAATGGAAGGAAAAAAAAGAAAATACTTTTCCATTCCCAATGATTCAGCAGCTAAAGGCTGTAGATTGTACAAATACACAGGAAGAGCAGCAAAAGAGAGGTTAAAAAAATGTACACAATTCAAGTTGTGCTGCTGCTAGTGAGGTCGTAAATTTGTCGATCCACTGGTGTTAGGAAAGACTCAATACAGCTAACCAAAGTTATGTACTATTATAACAACAAAACAAATCGGTTACCTGATAGAAGGAAACAATATAGTTACTGCAATCAAAGCAACAACAAAAGTGGTACCTGATATCTGAAAGATCACATTTGTTTCCAGCGATGGCCATTACAATGTTTTCAGGACCATGTTCTTTTAGTTCTTTCACCCATTTCTTCAAAGTATGAAATGAATCCTAAGTCAGAGAAACAACAAATAAGCTAACAGCCTAGTCTTTGTTGATGTATTTGCTTATTTTTTAAAGTTAGAGGTACACAGCTTTGACAGTACTAACACAGTAATAGTTTTATAGATCACAAGACCAGAAGATCATCACTATATCTATGTAAGCTGCTTTTCAAACTTTAGGTCAAAGACTTCCTCAAAGTAATTCTTGAGCTTGGACACTTTCCCCTTTGCCCCCTGCCCCCAAGCAGCACGCAATGTTTTCCTTGAATTTTCAGTGATGAAGAAACTAACACAGCTCTTTTACATTTGGCTAGTAGTAATTTCCTTCACTTTTAATGTGAGCTTTGTTTGTCTAACTTCAGCTTCTGCCCAGTGGATTATTACTATCTCAACCATTATCATATTTTTCAGTAACACCCAGAAGAACTTTCACAGGGACCCCCTCCCCCCACATTTCCAGATCTGTGAGCTGGTAAACATCAATTTATTCATCATGAAACCAAAGAGCCAGATGACAACTCACTTGGCTTTTTCCCTCCAAGTACAAAATTCAAACACTTTTTGATGCTACCTACCTTTTAATAGTACATTTTCTATTTCTTTACACTAATGAACTAATAGCATCAAAATCAGTTTTGTTCCTAGAGATTCTAAGTATAAGACAAGGTTGAAATTATTACTGAAACTCAAAGTAAGCTCCCAAATATATTATAAATATTTTTTTCCCCTTCGGAAATGCACGTAAGAGTTCTGTCTAAAGCAGCAATGGCTGTATCAGTATCACTGAAGGGGGAGCATCTGTGAAAAAAAATCCATTCTGCTTTCATGATCAACACTGAATATTAAGCATCCGAAAGTGAAATACACATTGACCTTCCTTTCCTATTTTCCCCTCTTTATTCTGAGAGCTGTTCCACATAAGCTTAGAGAAAGGCTGGCAAAACAAAATTCTATTTTTACAATGCATTACAAGATCAACTGTAAGATATTTAAATTAAAAATAAGTATCAATCCAGCACGATTCACTCTTCCTCATCTTTCTTGGCAAATTAGCAAAGGAGAACAGTACCGCTGTGCAACAGTGGCCACCATCATCAGCCACAGATCATTACACTAATGCACTGGAGAACCAACTCAGCCCTCTCAACCTAGTAGTAAATAATTCAATTGGCAGGAAAGGAATAAAATGCTACTGAATTGTCATGACCATCCATCCATTAATGCCTCCTCTAACTCAGCTTTATCAGCAGGGGTTTCTTCCAAAAGCAGTGGAAGAGGCATTCAGCTAGAACCTCCTAACCTCCTCTGACTGAGAAATGAGCCACAGCAGTTTAGGATCTCAAAATATGATTTTCATTCCCAATGAATAATGTTGAGACAAAGGTCAGAGACTCACTATTTCATTACTGGTTTCCATGTGAAGACATGAGTCCCACGATACAAACATGAGATGATGTGCTTAGTTAAAAATAATTAGTTTTAAAATCAGTGATATACAAATTTCTGTTCAGTTGATAAAGCAGCCAGCTGCCTTTTGTTGTAAAACTTCAACCCCATACAGAGAACATTTGACAAATGTTTTTGTAAACACGCGGGCGTGGGAGGGGTATTGCAGGGTATTGTCCTGTTTACTTAGAGGAAATCCAAAGAAACTTCAACAAAACGCAGTCTCCAACCTTTTGCCTAGATGAAGTTTAAATAACACAGAAGCAGAACCTTATATTTAATTTTTTAATGCAGCTGGACACCTTCATCCAAATCTACACAAACTACTCAGAAACCGTGCTGACAGGAGCGGGGATTAACTTATAAATACTTCTGCAGTTCTGGGTTTTAACTCTGACTCTGGAATTTTAACTCCAACCCCTCCCAAGCAGAAGCGTTATTAACACAAGCAAAAAGCCTGCGGAAGGTCTTACCTGTTTGGTGATATCATAAACTATCACGGCTGCCGCTGAACCTCGGTAGTACATC